CCCCCCCCCCCCCCCCCGCAAAAAAACTAACAAAACAATTAACAAAGTACCCAAAAATAGGCCCTCCAATGTTCAAGGCCACGAAACTGTCTGCGTAGCCTCAGAAGAAGCGTGAAAATGAACCAGCGGGCTTCTGGGTCTTCCGATGCACTGCTTATACTAGCGAGTATGTCCATCTGAGATGAGAAGTGCTGGACCATGGGCTTTGTGGCGCGGAGGTTGCGCTCTAACATAAGGGTCGGGCATACATTGGGGGGTATCCCTAGGATGTTCGGCCAGATAATTCATTGGGGCATGAGGGGCCGTCGACAATACATTTCAGTGAGGTTAATGCCTCAGGGAGAGCCGATTTTGAATGTTCGTGGGGCTTTGAAGTGGACTGGAGGCCTGAAATCAAAGCCTTCCCGCGTAGCATGTCTCTTCAAGCGATGTCGTCGCCAGCCCTCACCTCTCACAATCACAGCGGGCGGCTCAGACTTTGTCGTCGAAACTGCCTCCCCATCACGGTGGGAAGCTGCCCAGTGCACCGAAATAAATCCTGTAGGCCTAGCCCCGGCACTGACCATGTACTGAAATAAGATTTCCTGGGTTCCACCGGGGCCACAGACATGCACGAAATAAAATCCTGCAAACAGCTACAGGGACCTGAAAATCACTTCCTGGATGAGGAATTGATGAACATGAAATTTGAGTCTTGAACACCCAAATTTCAATCTACCGCATCTGACCCCTATCTCTCACGCGCTCGCCATAGCAATGAACTGTTCACGCCATTAGAGTATTCTCAATCTGGCAGTCACTGCAAAACATCTCAACTGTTCACGTAGAAGGGTCCTCTTTTTTGATGAGGCTCACTGCAACCTTCATCTTCTCGTTCGTGAACTTATCATTCACCTTGCATGGCCCCCGCACGAGCCCGAGAAACGGAGGACCTCTGACTGGCCTGAAGGTTCGTGTCGCCGCTGATGTCCTTGCCTGGGAATTTCCAGGTTTTTTATCTCAAGGGAAGGTCAAAATTGACTTCAGGACGGCCTGCAGCATCGTGCAGAAGGACCTTGTGCCGCGAAACTGTTAAGGAGGTGACCTCGCAAGCGCGGTTCCACGGCAAAGACGAAGCAGAGTGCGCTGCTTCTGCCGCTGCTTGCAGGGCTCAAGAACTAGAATCTGGAGGCCTGTCGTTTGCATTCGTCTTCAGGAAGCTTGGTCGCCTCACAGATCTCCCGAAGCGTCACCTGAAGCTCAGATGCCAGTCAGCCAGGTGTGGCAATCGGCTTGTTGGCGCCTGCTGTCTCTGATTAAAGAGCACCAGACAGAGGCACTGGTAGGCTGAGACGACCTGCAGGGAATGGCCCGTCTCTCGAGAAGTTTCTTGGAAAAAGTGCCCCACCAGCAGATGAGGACGCGCCAGGCCATGGCACTTGAGCTCCTGGACGTGAAGCAGCGAAGCAGCCCGACAAGCTAAGCAGCTAAGTCCGCGAAGCGGAAGTATTTTGAAGCTTGTTCTGAGGGCAGCTCCACACTTCCCATATTGTAAATCCACCTCCACAGGCAGCGACCCTTCTTCGCAAGAGATCTACTCGCCCTGAGTGACTGACAAAGGCTACCTGTTTGCTTAGGTTCAGCTTGGCATTCATACCATGTGAGGAGAACAGCAAACTCTGTTGGGGACCGCAGGGGCTTACAGCGACATACCTCCGGTACAAACCTAGAACACTGGTCGTGAGCTGTTCCGTTTGCATCATGGAGTGCATTGATGTGAAACTCAGCTTGGGGGGCTTCCATCCAAGAGTAGGTGTGCTCCGTAAGCAATAATAGTCACGTCGGCAATCGCATTAGGCAATTACATTAATATTTACGAATAGCAATATAGTAATAAGGAGCTCAGCTTGGCTGCTTTTAAAAGACCAGGCCTCAGCTTGCGGCCGTTGTGCTTGGCGTGGTAGAAGGCCTCATAGGCCTTGGGGTGGAGGCTGTGCTGCCGCTTTGCTCTGCGAGCTGACGCCACCAAAAGCGTGCCGTAATGCAGGTGTTCATCTCCGCACACGGGATGATAGGAGCATCATCCGCCTGTGCAGGTTGTCTTGAGCTGGAAGCACGGGGTAATTACGGTTTCTAAGCCTTCTCGGGCCAAGCGTTGGTTTGCAGCACACGAACCTGCAGCTCAGAAAGAACTCCCAAGAGCTTCAGGGCTGTTGCCATCAGAAGGCTCCTCATGCACCACGCCGCCAGGAGAGCCACGATGCGTATTCTTCATATACTCGTCCTTTGAGCTAGGCACCGGAAGACTCATACTTCTTACCTGGTCTCCAAGCTATCCTGAAGCTGGTCGCTGAGAGCCATGTCTGTAAACATCGAGGCCTAGCAGGCATGGCGCCCCGTGACCAAGATGGACCATGAAGCACACGATGCTCCGCTACGCAGCTCCCCGCCAGCTTCTGAATAGATTGCTGGCCACACTCCACCTGATCTTCGCACATAGGAGTGAAGTTCATGCTGTTCGGTGGTGTATCCTTTCGGTGGAACCTTTGGAAGATTGCATGCCTCTTGGATTTTCGGGAGCATCCTCAGATAAGGTTTTCAAAACTTACCGGGGATCCATGGGCAATCGGAGAAGTATCCTACGGGTGCCACTCACACCGCAAGGATACCTTTCCAGTTGTCCAGGCATCAAAATCGTCAGCTCTCATGCTCTCGCTCTTTTTCTGAGGCTTCATGTTCTGCAAGTTCGGACAATGTCCTGGATTCTTACAAATGAGCCATCTTGACCCCTAACATAAGCCGCACGGACCCCCAACATAATTAAAGCTGGGTTGAGATACTGCTAAGTAGACCATATACCTATCTCCTGCAGGCAACTACACCGTGGACGTGCTGTATGCACAGATAGTACAGAGGCGAGATTGCAGGCCGCAGTCATTGTTTTCCCTTAAGACATGCATGTCCGTTCCGTTTTTGTCGCCCTGGAATCTCTCGCCTGTTGCGAACAACTCTCGTATTGCGCCCTAACCCACGGAAGCGACCCAGAAGTTGAGGGGGCACTGAAAGGGAGATGCAGCTGCTGAGAAGAGCAGGACACACATTATCAGAAGACGCAAGAAGAAACTCCTGCTCTCTAGCATCCAGCCTTCAACTTGGTGATGAAGCAGTCCTGGCTTGTTGACAACAGTTTTTGGGTGAAGAGCTGGCAGGATGGTCAGGTGGAATATGTAATTTTCTGGGAGTCATTTCAGGAAGACGTCATTGAACCAGGCTCTTTCTGCTTGAGGCATGGGAGCAAATTGACATACTGCTTGGCTATGAGTGCAAGTTCCTGACGGGTCAATTTGTATTGCTGTTGTATGTGCCTGGCAATGTATGGATTCTATCGTGAATGGCCACGGGTTCATTTTGAGAATGTACGCTTTGCTGATATGTTCATCCATTCTTGTTGCACGCGGGGTGTGCATAAGTAATAAGCATGGCTAGCCAGAAGTTTCTCGCCTTATCTTTTATGCTCCTGCGGGGGTCTATGCGGGCTGGGCTAATTACTGCGGCAAAAGATTGGACCTTTCCTGCCTAGGTGCGCAGCATCCGTGCCTTTTGCAGCATTTTATACACTTCTTAGGTGTTCGATCAGCCTGCGCACCATGTGCACTAAGCAAGGACCAGACATTTCAAATTTGTGCAAAGCTGTCGGAAACGAGCTGCCGCGTCAATTACCGCAGATTGTCTACTGCGTGAAGGGAGCAGCAGAGGTCGGCATCATCAGGGATTGCCAGCGTAGACATATGCGCACATCTGCAACACATGTACTGAGACCGTCTGCCACATGTTGAAGCAAGAGCATTCAGCCTAGAGGCACACATGTACAAGTAGCGAGCAACACAAAAAATTGAAGTTTCAAGCCGCGTATCCACACGGCCACAAGCATGTAGCTGTTCAAACGCCGAGCTTGCGCATTGCGTCAGCAGACCGGAAAGGCATGGTACTCCAGAAGATGCGAAGCCACAGCCTACTAGCACGGGGCAAGAAGGTGCCCCCGACAAACAGGTTTCGAGACAGATGCTAGCGAAAGCCCATATCCAAAAGATTCCTTTCCCAAGAAGCCCTATATTGTTTAATTTCAGGATCCTTCACTTGCCTGGGTTTCTGAACTCTCCTACGCTGCGTGATATAGATAGTGAACAATATGTAATACATCCTTGCAATCTATCCTCATACCAAGGTTTTTGCTGTCCTCGGCATCGTGGGAGATGGAAAGCTTGTTCAGCAGGCGCCGGGATAAGGCGCTCTGAGACGGGTCAAGAGCACGGTAACAGGACAAGAAATTGGGCAAAACATATTGGAAAATCATTTTGCTGGGCTTTTCCCAATTGAAACAAGACATTCTATAATGTGTGCATAGATCTGCTGCTGTAGACCTGCTCTGGATTTAAGTAGTATCATGCAAGAGCCGAATGCCTTGTAGATATCCAGGAAGATATCCTTATCCTGAGCTGGCAGCAGCACAGAAAGTGTCAATGATTGCAGGGATGCAATCATGTGCCTTCAGATGCGCGAAGAGGCTCACCTCACATCACATCTCCAAGAAATCGGCCGACATGCATGGGAGTGGGACCCCGAGTGCAAGTGTTTTCAACCTCTGGAGTCTGCGGACCGATGAGAACGGCTTTGAATGGCAATAATACAATGCTCTCACTTGGCCACCTGAAAGGATGAGTAGGAAAGAGTAGGAAGGCAAAGGTCTATTGGCAAGCATTCGCCACCCATTGCAGACAACAGCGCGTGCTTCCTACTGCAGCGAATGGGTGCCCGGCGACTTGGTTCACCAACGTCTGCACTTCTTCCTCGTTCCTGCCCTTCAAGCCCTTCTTGAGCCTCGCAAGTCCCACAATGCATAACTGCGTACTCTAAGTATGCCTGTACATTACACAGTCGTCGTCGTTAATGAGCATGTTCACCGTAAAAGCAATGTATGACGGCGTAAAGCAGTGCCACCCTTCAACAAGGTGTGCTGCACAGGTGTGCAGCGTGTGGGCCTGTTTCTTGGATACTAATATGAAGGGGGATGTACAAACACGCTATACTGCTGGGCTAGGGATCAGGGAAATGATATCTGATACCTCAACCTGAAGCCTCGTCTCCCGTGGGGGACCCAACACTTGAAACACTATCCAAAGTCTTTGCGCCTTGTCAAACTCTTTCAGGTGGCCGAACAAGAAACAACACACTCAAAGAAACAACGTCTAAACCCCGGGCCCTTGGCGCAGGCCGCTCAGAAACAACACATCAGAGCCTAGGTCTAGGTGGCTCGGGCCAGATCTTTCCAGTGTAAGTCCTTAATGCAATCTATCCACTGCATCCCAGTCAGGACCCACTTTGTGAAGCCTGTAGCCAACACTCACGCCCCAAATAGCTCCGGGACCTACAGTGATAAGAGGCGGCGCGAACTAGCCACCCCCGAACACTCCCAATAACAGAGGTCCAGAATTGCTCAGTGCAGCACTGCAAGTCGCAGAAGAGAGCGAGATACTTGGCACAGCGGGTGTCCTGGCTTGTTGTGCTTCAGGTGACAGCAGAACTAATCACGGAACCATAGTGTCAAGGACTCTGTGTACTTGCTATGTCTGCATAAACCTTACGAGGGTTTCACATTACCTTTAGGGGAGGGTCGCCTTGTTCAGGACCGCCTCTAAGCCTCTGTTGCGACCTTTCTGGAAGCCAGTGTCGCCCTCGAAGCATGAGGCCACCTTGTCAGCTGTGTTCCTTGCTACGCTGACCCCTGCAGGACTATTGCAAGCATTGTGCTGGACATCTTGATTGCGAGTACCACTTTCGCTACGTTTGCTCTTGCGATTCCTATCACTGCCCCAACCCGACAGGTGCTTGCGCCGCTTCACGTTTGGACTGCCAAATAGTGCGTTGCGTTATCAGATATCAGCAAAGTCCACCCAGGGCAAGTTTGTGAGTGTCCGGCCATCTCGTCCACCTCCTTCTTCAGTTCCAGCACCTTGCCCAGCTGTATCAGCAAGTGCATCCACCAGTACCAATAAATTCTGGCAGGCAGAGAATTAACAAGGATTCAGGCCCACGTGCCTTCTCGGTGTACACAGCAGGGCTATCAATCATCTGCTGGTCTTCAACGACTCCTTTCGCCCTGAACGCAACGTAAACATCGAGACTTTTGTCAGCATATCCGCAGCATGCGATGACCATGATTTGAACTTGAAATCCAAATGCGATTACATTGGAGTCTTGCGTGACAGACGCGCCTCTCTTCAATGTAAGGCTCCATGGCGGTGATGATGTGCGGCAGCATGGTGGGCTGGCAAAGCTGAGTCGCTTAGGCTGTCAGTGCGGTCTCCCGACCTATCTGGCTGCGCCTCGCGCTTGAAGATTCTGTACATGAGCTTCAACCTGCGAAGTTCATAGCATGCGGCCAAGTCTTCAGCATACCTCTGACAAGGGCTCGGGCTCGTCGTGCCGCCGGTTTTTAAGCATGGCCTACCACAAGACAGTGTGAGAAAGCTTTGCTATGCAAGAAGCACTCGCCACTCGCCTGCGCACCAGTGCTCATCTCCACCAGAGCCTTGCAGCACCACGACTCGATCACCTAGAGCCTTTAACACCCCTCCACACACCAGCCTTGGCGGTGTTCAGAATCAGCTCCTTCTGCACCACCGTTTTCAGCTCCTCACTCAGGGCTTCAGCACTGGGGGTGCTCTTCCGCTTCCTCGTGATAGAACAATCTTGTATGTGAAAGCTGCCGCACGTGAAGAGAACGGTCTCTTTTTCGAGCTGCCCCTGAATTAGAGCAGCGCGAAGATCTCGAACCTGCATCCCAGCGATGGAAGGGCTTTTGTTCGAGGCCCCGTTGATACCTGTAGGACTTAAATTCGCTACAGCAAGTTACAGCTGATAGGTTCCAGTTCAACTGAGCAATGGGCTGGCGGCGTGAAAATTCAATTCAATGCCCGTTACAGGTATTGCTGCCATGACGACAAGAACGAGTCAACAGCGACTGGGTCTTTTCAGTTTTGCAATGATGTCCGTTCCTGCGTTTACTGCCGTCTTACTCATACGTCCTTTGACGTCTGACATGGTCGTTCTTGTTATCATGTTGCTTCTGCTGTTGTTTCGTTATTGCTTCGGCTACCAATACCGCCGCAATGACAAAGTTTCCTCTTCTTGTCTTAGCCCAGAAAATTGCCAAGCAATGCATGACCGCCTGCATATTTCGAAAGAGTCGCGGACGCCGCCGGCCTTAGCTCATTTTTCTAAAACATGCAAAGAACTACCAGGATTAAAAGGATATTGTTGCCTTTACATGCATCAATAGCCAACGTAGGCAGTATTGACATGACAGGAAGTGACGAATCGCAACCAAAGGGCTGTTGGTGCAGGTTATAGCACATATTGCGCATGTTTTTAGCTGTTGAGCTACTATGCTGACTTGGCAAGCCTTATCGGGCAGATCCACATAATCCTGAGAATTTTTAAGCTCTCTACGTCTGCCCATCCGGCATCCAGAAGCCAGAAGATAGACCCTGGTAGCCCTACGGTCACGTAGCGAGCAACTCTGTCTAAAGCCTTAGCTTGTTTTTTTTTCTCCAGTGGGTTCTTGCGCATGTGTCCTGGAGATAAGCTAAGGCCTGCGGCTTTCCCTGACTCGGCGTGGCATTCCTTCCAAGCAGAACACTTGCCAAGGTCAAAATAAAATGTCTGGCACCTGCGCCTTCTCCTCGTGATAATATGTGTGATTGCCACTCTCATGATATGACTGCTGCAGTGTTTGTTCTGATTTACAATACTATGCTTTGATTCTGGTTGTCCTTCGTACGACTGCGTATACGACTTTGCTTCATGACAAAGATTCTGTTTGCTGCCTCGAGCAGCGGAGGAGAGCCAAAAGACTGTGAGGCACTTGATGTAGCCCGGGTGAGGTCCTGAGGATTTCAACTTGATGTCTGAACTTGCAGAAATGTCCATATGACACATGCAGGTGTCATGGTCCATGGTGGTTGTCGTTGTCCGATACGGCGACTATGCGAGCTGTCCTTGTTCACGTGCACTGCAGCATCATCCCCGCCGAAGATCAGGCCATGAAGCTGGCATCAAGATACTCACTGATGCATGCAAAACAGATATGAGCTGGCATCAAAATTACTTGTTTGTGGTAATGGTGGACTTTACTTAGGGTGCCGCGCATCGTTTGGAGGTCTGGGAGGTATGGTTTTGGGGTATCGTTTGTTACGATGCCCCGTATTGTTTTGCAGTGGTTTAAACATCTCTCTACTCATTGAACAACGCCCTTACTACTCTACACTACCAGGAATGTTCACCCCGGCTCTATGAAGAAGGAACAAAGCTCAGGGGGTCCTTATCACATTAATCCGCTGAGGATCAGCGGTGCACTCAGCAAGCTCTGCGCCTCGGAGGCTTGCAACAGCATCTGGTTGGCACCTGACCTTGGTCTCTGGATGGAAAGGTGTGTGGCAGAGAAGCAGCTGGCCGCTGGCCAAGGGAAGACATCGATGGTGCTTTTGCCCTGGAGCCTTGATGAGCAGATATGTTAAGACAATGAAACGGAGATGTTTGCCGGAAAGGCCTGCGGAAGACGAACGCATCCTCCGCGGCTCGTAAGCATGTCAACAAATCCAAGTAGCCACTGGTCCGGACCTTGGTCGTGACGGTCGTGAACAAGCTCAAAAAAGCTCAAGAAGACCCTCTACCTGAGCTCTTGGCCCAAATGACCGGCGAGAAGCCGCCCAGTATGTCTCCAAACTCACCTGCCGAAGAGCCCTCAGAACATGTCCAAGACGCTTGAAACAAATGGCCAGGGGGCTGTAGACGAAGAAGACCATGGCAGCATCCCGGGACCTCTCCAAAGCCACAATTCAATCACTCCATCTTGGGGCGAGCTGTGGGCCGGCTTCTTGCACTTCTCCAGACAGGTGCGGAGCGAAGTGCCGTCCACCACCTGACAATTCCATGGCTGTTTGATGCCGCGACCAACTGCCAACTATGAGCAAGGCTCTGGATTACCCAGGATGTCACAATAGTCAGAAAACATGGGCAAACATCATTGCCTTTCAATCATGCAAAGCTGAAATGCAAAGCCCCATCAAGGAGCCCCGCCGGTGTGTAGATCAGGTGTGGGTCAAAGACGCGGCAGTTGGCAGGGACCTCGAGGCTCAGACTATCTCTCGTCGGCTATGATCTGCCATGATGTGAAAGACAAGAAATCCTGCACTGCCAAGGCAAAACACTATAATCCCTATTGCAGGGCCCCCACAATGGTACCCCTAATCTTTAAATCCCTAATCCCTACACATATCTGCACACTATACACCCCCTTTCCATGTCATAGTCCACTTTCTTGTCCATTTGATTCTCCATTGTTGGAGGGTGATATCCCTAAACTCTATGGGGTCCATTGAGGGCCATGCCCATGGCCAGATCGCTTCCCATATCTCGTCGGGGACTGCGCCTGTCTTCATCTTTTGAAGCCCCTTCTATGTGGAATTGAGCCTGCTATGGATATCTCAAATTCAGTAGCCTCCTATGAGGCTTCTGATTCCTCCTCATGCCTTGTGCCCTTTGTGGCCTCGAGGTTCGTAAAGGCGCGGCCGGCAAAACATGTGCTTCCGGTAGTCCTGAAGCTCAGGAGGACGAGAAGAAGCTTGTGTTGAACCAATGTCGTTTCTGTCCGCACTCTACCATGAAATTTCTAGAGCTGTGTTTACATATGACACCCTATGATCCACATGACACCTACGATCACCCACGTGTTCGGTCTCCTGTCTTGGAGCTGCGTAGGAGATCTTCCAGGAACTGCTCACCTCGGCTCAATTGGAAGATCTGCAGTCTTCCTCGGTCTTCGGCAACTTCAGCAACAGCTCGGCTTTCTGCCCGTGCCATGGACAGGTTTCGCAGTGGCAAAGAGAACGCAGCCTGCGCGTTGCTTGCACGACTTGCTTGACGTCACGGGCTCTTGCATGCTCTGACTTTTTTGCGTTTGCAGGTGGAGTTTCAGCCTGACTGGTGTCAGCTGGCTCCGGAAGCTGTAGCTGTGGCAAATGCAGGCACGTGGGACCACAAGCCAGCTGAAACACCAAATCGTCGCATCGCTATGCCTCGGATACTTCGGATTACCTTCATACGTCACCGCCTGCCTGTCTCCATGTGCAATGCACGAATTATGGCTCTCCATCATTGAGCGGACTGAGATTTCTGCACCTGAGCCAAGTTGCCACAAAGCGTCTGAACTCTTGGTGTCTCTGAAAGTTGAGGCTTGGTGCCCTGCCCCAGGTCTCATTCCCGCACACTGCTATTGAAATAGCGTTGGAGGGCTCGTGGTACCTGACACCACTGCGGGTGCTCAGCCTGGAAACATGGTGCACGCAAGGGCGCATTGCTCCCATTCTCCAGACTCAGGCCTGGCCATCTGAGTGTTTCAGCAACTTTCTGCAGCTTGGCACAGTATTCCCGTCCTTCTTCTGGTCCTTGTTCTGGCGTCGCAGCTTCAAATGCTTCGCGGCAAACCTCAGCCATCGAATCTTGTCCAGGCTGCCAGGCTCATCTTTTACACTTTGGGGATGCGACGCAGCCAGGGCTGCCACCACCACCAATCCACAAGGCACCTCTTGACAGAAAGCCCAAGGGACTCTTCTTCTTTCTGTTTCCTCTCCCTTGCCTTGATGTAGTCCAGGCTGTCCTACAAGGGCAACACATCTTGCTGAATTTCGGCCGTCAAGCACTCCGCCTCGAGAATGGTAAGGCGGAGGGGCGGCAGGGAGGCTGCGATGGCCACCATCATGACCAGCAGTAGTGAGACCTCCAGTGTGACGTGCCGGAGAGTTCAGTGAGCTGGAAAGCGGAAAAAGGAGCTGACAGCAGCAGCACGGAGCTGGAGAACGTATCGGCCTGCCACGGGCGCAGTCTTTGCAGCAAAACACCTGAGGCTCACCTGGCCTGTCTTGGAAGAGCTCTGCGTCTCGGACTTGGGCTCCTTCGACATTTCGATGTTTTTTTTCCGCCGGGTCCTTTTTGCGCGAATGCTGGCCTCAGGAGCAACCTTTGGCTTCGTGGTCTTGTCCTTGATGTCCTCAGGCCAGACAGGACAACTCAGTATAGTAGCTACCCTATTGCCGGCAAATATCCTTGTGGGGCTTAAGATCCTCCGGCTCCTGTTGCTCCTGCCATTGGTCCGTGCATCATCCTCTTCGCATCTCATTGACAGGAGCGCACCTCCTTGTCCTTACGCGGGGCGGGCGAGGCCGCACGCGACTTCCTCGGCAGGTAGACCCTCGTGACAGCAAAGGCGACGAAACAAGCCTCTGAGGCCATGGGCTTTGGCTTTTCGAGAGGAGCCGATTCGAGGGGAACCGATTCAATTTCAGCCTCGAGAGGAGCCTGGGCTTCTCGGCTTCCGGAGTCTGAGCTGCACTCAGACCTGTCGTTTGGGGTCCGGGCCATGGCTTCAGGTTGCAGCAGACAAGGCGCGTGACACTGAGGGAGCTTGGAGCCATCAGCGGGAGGAACCAGGGCATGCGGATGCTTGCGGCTCTGAGAGTCTTCTTTCTGACGTCTTAAGACTGGGCTCAAAGCACGAGCAACACTACTCGTCAGCTGAATGCCGTTGTTTCCATCAGCACCCACTTGCCTTGGTCAGGGTGTTAACCTCCTCATGG